TTCTTTCACTCCCATGGGGCCAAGACAACAACATATTTATATAGGAGGAAATTTGAAGACTGATGTACTTGGAGTTGGAGATTTTGAACTGAAAATGAAGAGTAGGAGCACCTTGATCCTAAAGCAAGTACTTTATGCTCTTGATATGAGGAAGTGCTTGGTTTCGGTTTTTAAGATGTCTATGGCTGGATTCATAACCACTTTCCTTGGGGAGAAAGTGGTGGTCAAGAAGACGAAAGATGTGATCATGACTAGACGACTTGTAGACGAGCTATTTACTATTGAAATAAAAGATAACGTTGTTTATGTCTCGTCCTCTAATGAATTAGATGCTACCCTATGACATATGAGGTTAGGACACATTAATATCAAATGAATGGAAAGATTAAAAAGGGATGTGATTCTTCAAAATTATAAAAAGATTTATCGAAAGTGTGCGAGTCTTTTGTGCAAGGAAAATTACTAAGGAAACATACCACCAGGGCAAAAAGAGCTACTAGCGTATTGAAAATCATTTATAGTGACATATGTGGACCTATGAATGTGAACACCAAAAGTGGAAAATGATATTTTATCTCTTTTATAGATGATCACTTGCGATATGACCATGTGTACCTTATTCATGCAAAATCAGAAGCCTTAGAAAAATTCAAAGAATATAAAGCCCAGGTAGAGAATCAAACAAACCTGAAAATTAAAGTCTTTAGAACCGATAGAGGGGGGAATATTCATCTGATATTTTCGAAGAATTTTACATTGAAAATGGGATCATCCATCAGTACACCATGCCTTCTACTCCTAAACAAAATGGTGTAGCTGAGAGAAGAAATATGACTTTAGGGGAAATGATAAGGAGTATGATGGGGCATGTAAATCTCTAATTGGAGTTTTGGGGAGAAGCGGTATTAATAGCATGTTACATCCTTACTTTGACTCCCACAAAAGTTGCTCCACTTACTCATGAAATTTTCACAGGTTGTACTCCCTCCATTGAACACCTGAAAGTTTGGGGTTGCTCAGCCCATGTCCTTATCCCACATCAAAATAGAACCAAATTGCAACTCAAAACTGTCAAATCCATTTTCACTGGTTACCTAGATCATGGTAAGGCGTATCGATTCTACAACCTTGAAACATGTACGGTTATTGAAAGTTGTGATGCTCACTTCTTCGAGGAAGAGTTCCTTGAACCAAGGGTAAGTACAAAACAAGCTGACTTTTATGAGGAGGCCCAAATAAGGATGTAGTTCGAGACCCTGAACCTGAAACTTCTAAGCCAACCCAACCTGATCCTGAACTCCCTATAGAAAGTGAACCCTGACCTGAACCAAGACGAAGTAACCGAGTAAGTAGACCACCTCTTTACCTAGAACATTTTGTCTACCTTGGAGAACATTTTGATAAGATTGGGGAAGATCTAGATTCAAAACCTAGAACTCACCGTGAAGCCTTGACTTGTCCTGAAAGGGAATACTGGGTAAAAGCCATGAAAGATGAGTATGCTTCTATTAACTAAAACTATGTATGAGAATTAGTACCCCTACCTCAAAAACGTTAGGCCATTGGTTGTAAGTGGATTTTCAAGAAAAAGTTGAACTCTGATGGAAAAATAGAAAAATACAAAGCTAGGTTGGTTGCAAAGGGTCTCACTCAGAAAGAAGAGATATATTATGAGGAAACTTTTTCCCTTGTTACCTAATTTTCATCCATTCGAATCCTTATAGCTATAGCAGCCCATTTTGACATTGAGGTTCATCAAATGGATGTCAAAACAGCATTTCTAAATAGGGATTTAGAAGAAAAAATTTGACCCAACCTGAGGGATTTGAGGAGAAAGGGAAAGATAACCTAGTATGCAAACTTAATAAATCCCTTTATGGCCTGAAACAAGCATCATGACAATGGTATAAAAAATTCCAAGAGACCCTTGCTATTGCAGGGTTCTTTACAAATAATGATGATTATTGCATATATCAAAAGGTTAGTGGGAGTAATGTGGTCTTTATATCATTATATGTGGATGATAAGCTAATTGTTAGTAGCTCAATTGCCCTGGCAATAGAGATGAAAAATTTCCTTACACAACACTTCGATATAAATGATCTTGGAGAAGCTTCATATGTGTTGGACATCAAGATAATAAGAAACATGAGAGAGAAGACTATCCAATTTTCCCAGGCAACGTACTAGAAGAGGATTCTGGAAAAGTTTCATATGAGTATGTGTAAGCCTATGTCTACCTCAATTGACAAAAAGACAAAGCTTAGTAATAAGATGTGTCCTACAGAAGACATGGATATAAGAGCTATTGCGAGAATGCTATACAGGAGTGCAGTTGGGTCCCTTATGTATGCCATGATGGGAACAAGGCCAGAGTTGTCCTCTGTCATGAGTCTGGTGAGCCGTTTCCAAAGTAATCCAGGAGAGGAACATTGGAAAGCTGTAAAAAGAATTCTCAGATATTTAAAAGGGACCATGAACTATGCGCTCACATATAAGGGGGGAACTAAAATAGTAATAGAGGGATATTCAGATGCAAGCTATCTCGCAGATCTAGATGATGCGAACTCTACATCTGGGTATGTGTTTATGCTTGGAGGAGTTGTGGTTTCTTGGAAGTCAAAAAAACAAGATATTGTGGCCTTGTCCACCATGGAATCCGAATATGTGGCATGCTTTCTAGCAGTCAAGGAGGCCGTGTGGATTAAGAAGTTTCTTAATTAACTTAATTTTCATCTTGTACATTGTGAGGCAGTGTGAATTTTCTGCGATAACATTGCGGCTATTTGTGTCTCTTAGAAGCCTCGGTTTCATAAGAACTCCAAGCATATTAAGCCTTATTTTTACAACCTGAGAAATGAGGTGAGATTGAAAGAGATCGAGATCAGCTACATATCTACAGATTTGATGATTGCAGACTCTCTGATTAAGGGAGTTGTCTCAAATGTTTTTGTAAGACATGTGAGAGAGATGGGGACGAGAGAAAGTGAGGAAGAGAGAATATAAGGCCTTCAAGGCCAAGTGAGAGATGTTGGA